ATATATATATATATATAAATTATCTCATTCTCCATAATTGTTACACTAAACTTTTCCTCATTCAAAATCTTAAGTCTTAACCCTTACAAAAATTGTTTATATACATCGTCTAAGTGAAAAACATTTTTTTTATTAATTTAAACAAAACAATACAATTTTGCTCTCTAAATTATTAAATTTTAACCAATAACGTTTTCGTTAACATCAACAACATATTAAAATCTTACCTAATTCTCGCATGAGACCAACATAATATTGTAACCTAAGATGATATCAAATGAATTAACTTTTTATAAAACTACATTAATGTTTATAAAAAATAGTGTTAATTTAATAACATAAAATTATAGTCTAAACGTGTTTTTTTTGTCTCTATAATATTTTTAAATAGCACTTATAAAATCTATTTTTTTGTTCCATTTTAACGTTTTCCAATGCTAGATAGTACTTACTTTCGATTTTGAAAAGCACAATTCAAATTAAACATTGTGAACTGGCGCGAAAAGATAAACGTAGCCAAAAATATCCCAGGCAGTGTTGCTATGGCCTATATCTCCTTTTTAAATTTTTCTTTTCTTTATTTTACAATTTTTTTCTTGCATAAATTAATTTGACAATTTGTTATTTTTTCTTCTGTGTTTTTTAACATTTTTTTCCTTCAATTTATTTTATCATTTATTTTATCATTTATTTTATATATATTTTATTTTTCGTTTTAAGTATTTTAATATTTATGAAAGTGGCGCTATGGCTTATAGCGCCACTGTGTCGCTATAGGCCATAGCGCCACTAATTTTAACGTTTTTCTTTAAATTATTTACTTAATTTGTTTTTTCCACATTTTAATTTATATTATCAATTTAATATAAATCTATATTTATATAAAAATATTTTCTGTTATTTATTTATTTTATATATATTTTGTTTTTCGTTTTATGTATTTTAGTATTTATGAAAGTGGCGCTATGGCCCATAGCACCACTGTGTCGCTATAGGCCATAGCGCCACTAATTTTAATGTTTTTTTTTTAAATTATTTACTTAATTTGTTTTTTTCACATTTTAATTTATATTAAGAATGTAATAAATTTATATTTTTTTGTTATCTTCTTTCTAATTTCTTTATTAGTATATATATATATATTTATTTATTTTTATATATTTTTAATTTTTATAATAATGGCGCTATGGCCTATAGCGACACACTTTTACAAATTCATTTTTCTAAAAAAAATAAATTTATATTAAAAATGTAATGCTATAGGCTATAGCGACTTTATTGAAGCCGTTTTGTGTCGTTATAGGCTATAGCGACATTATAAATATGACTTTCATGGCTTTCTTGGAGTTCAAAAATTTCACGTGTCACCGGCGTCGCTATGGGCCAAAAGTGTACCATTTACGTAAATAACTTTGCAAAGTGCCCCAAATTGGTCAATCAACCTGATATGATTCTACTGCCTATATATATATAAATTATCTCATTCCCCATAATTGTTACACTAAAATTTTCCTCCCTCTATATATATATATATATATTTTTTTTATTTAAACAAAACAATACAATTTTGCTCTCTAAATTATTAAATTTTAACCAATAACGTTTTCGTTAACATCAACAACATATTAAAATCTTACCTAATTCTCGCATGAGACGAACATAATATTGTACCCTAAGATGATATCAAATGAATTAACTTTTTATAAAACTACATTAATCTTTAAAAAAAATAGTGTTAATTTAATAACATAAAATTATAGTCTAAACGTGTTTTTTTTTTGTCTCTATAATATTTTTAAATAGCACTTATAAAATCTATTTTCTGATTTTAGTGCAATATATAAAATTTTAAACATTCAAAATATTTATTCATTTTAAGCTAATCTTTTTGAAGAAATAATAAATAATAAAATAAATTATTCACATATTAAAGTGAAAAAAAATTAGAGGGATTAAAATAAAATTAAAAATTTTCACGAGTATTTAAAAAATAATTTTATAAAACTTTTAAAAAATATTATACAAGCTTAAAAATATATTTAAAATTAAAATTAAATTAAAAATACATTTTCTATATTAGACATAACAAACTGTAATTAAAGAGTTGAATACAAGTGATTAATACATTGAATTTAAAATTAAATCGTTTAAATAATGTCCAAATTCAATTCATGGTCAAACTTTATCTATCTCTCAACTGAACTAGATTAGTTTGTGATGAAATCTTAAAATACTGATAAAAATAAATAATTTTTTATCTTTTATTTTATCACTATTTTTAAGATAGATTTACAAGTACAAAGTATGAAGAAAAGAAGAAAAAAAAACGTAAGTGAGCGCATGCATAGCAATTAGCAAACCACCTACCACGCACGGTCCACGGCACCACCCTCTCTAATGGTGTCCTCAACAACCTCCAAAAGGCGTTACTTTTTATGCTTCTCTTCTCTCCCAGTTAAGTAAGTTTCATCGCCACTCAGCGGAGTTTCCCACCAAACCAACCCCAACGTAATAAATAAGCTCATTCAAACGCATCACACCATTCCAACAACACACAATGGCTCTCAGTCTCACGCATCAAGTTCAAGCTCCCTCCTCCTCCTCTTTCCCCACCCCTCGCCGCCCTCTACCCGCCCCTCGGACCCTCCCTTTCCGCCGCCTCGCCGTGCGCGCCTCTGTCACCGCGGCCCCTGCGGCGGCGCCCACGGGGAGGGAGTGCAGGGTGAAGTCCCTGAAGGCGCGGCAGATCGTCGACAGCCGCGGG